TATTTTCTGTACAAGCTTCATCTGCACCCGTTGAACGAGTTTTTAGTCAAGCAGGACTCATCATGTCACCACGACGAACATCCATGCTTGAAGAAGTATTTCGAAGTTTAGTATTTTTACGTGTAAATCAAAACTTGCTTCAATAGACCATTAAAAAGAATTCTATCTGCTATTTTTTTAATATCGATTATTTTATTTTGAAATGCTATTAGAAATGAATAAACTAAAATAAATGCAAGAAAGAGAATACATACACATAACATCCTCCTATTCTGAGAATGCCAACAAAACGAGATATTATTGTTTTTTGTTTTAATCAAAGTACAAAGTTTTTCTTGCTATATTTAAGTACAAGTACAAGTTCATTTCGCTAGTACTTATACTTATACTTTTTACTTGAAAAAGTAGGGAAAGTACAAGTACAACTACTTTCGTCTTACCTCTGTAATCGGTGTAAGAATGGGTGTATTAAGCTAAAAGGATATAACATCTTGTTTCAAAACTATTGTTAATATTTCAATGATATTGATGGTACAATAATTTGTTATACTATGTAACATCATACGATAATATTTTAAATTACATAAAAGTGTATATATATATATGGGATAAATGTGATCATAATTTTGTTCTTTCTCATGAAGTCAATGGATAGCATCGACTTTATATCAGCACATAGGATATGGAGAAATGTAAACCTAGTATATGATGTCTTCATAAGAAAGAAAATCTGACTCTATAGAAGATAAAATTCAATTGAAAGCATGACATGCCATGTTATTCAGATTTAGTCATGAAGTGTGATATGTGGAGTTCGTTTAACTGAAAATGTAATCATTCGGGGTTAAAATGTATAATAGTGAGAATTAGCCTTGAACTTCCTTCTCATGGGTTTACCATTTTCTGTAGGTATTCTCGATAGTAACCAATAATGTCATAAAATAGCTGTTAATTGGACTTTCTTTCCTATCCAGTTGCAACACTTAAAGTTAAGGACGATAATGTAGACGATTCATAGAAATGGATCACTGATCGACATGTCCATATTTCAATTTTATTATCCATGAAATTTTTTTTTCCTAAGACATCCTGAAACGTTTTCAAATAAAACGAAAATATCACAAGTGATTTCAATATTTTATAGCAGAAAAATATTAAGAAAAAACACAAAATATCTATTAAACGAAAATGTATTTTGTTTTCGAATGTTCAGAAGATTGTAAAATGTTGTCAATAAAACAAGTTTTTATGCATTACTTCGGCGATAAATTGCGATATGGCAACACGCAAGAAATAATTTTTCTGTTTCTAATGGAGGACAATCAATATCGTCGAGATAGCCAAGTTTTTCATCGCGATAACTTTGAGCTGCCACAACAAACACAGCGCTCAAGTTAGGTTCAGGGAAACCAGCCGCCATTAGTTCAGATTTTACATTGTTTTTCAGTTGTCGAATCGTTTCGTCCATGAGTGCGGCATATTCGATTTTTGTTAATTTGCGACGTAGCTCAGCAGTTTTTATCTTCACTCGACTTTTTATGTCATTGTCGGCTTTGGTCAAAACAATCGCTATCGGAATCTTATACTCGACAGCTTTTCGATAAATGTCAGTATCTAACTGAGTGAAACGGCCAGACTTTAACAATAGCAAACAATCGAAAGCATATAATGTTTTGTCATCGAAGTAGGTTTCACCTGGATGTTTTTGTGTGCCACCACCAGGCATGTCCCATATACTAAGATACGGAAATTCATTGTTTGGCCAACAATAATGTGTAGGCATCATAGTAGTTTCATTGATACCAGAGGGAGCTGGCCCGCTGTCAATATAAACAAATGCGTCACTGTATTCAACGTCTATTACACTACGAATGCAATTGATGAAGGTTGATTTACCTTAAGAACAACATTTATTTATTTTTTAGGGTGGAAACTACAAAAATGATTTAATTTAAAGAAACCTGTTCCACTATTGCCACAAACAGCCAAATTGTAATGGTTTTCAATATCCATACCCAATTTTTCTTGTGCATTTTTGATCATTAGCTTTTGAGTCATTTCAGGAGTTGGAGGTGGTGGAGGACTCTGAGCTGGTGTTTTAAAATAGGCATATATTTTGCTAGCTGCCATTGAGAATGCTACACCAGCTACTATCGGTATTACGAAAGCCATGAATAAACTAAAAGTTCTGTTTCGACTCGAATCGATTAATGTGTCTGTTCTTTGTTTCCAATTCGAGTGTAATCTACAGTAAAGAGATCATCATATGACTCGATTTCTTATCAACGTTTGTGTTGATTCTTTGACAATGTTTTCTTGTGTATAATTTCTTTTTCGTCTGAGTTCTCGTTAAATGCTATGCACATAGAAACCTCACTACTAGTGTCATAAAAAACGTTTTAAGCAACGTATTTTTTTAAAGTAAAGAAAGATAGGGTATCATTTGTACTTACAGCAAGATGATATATAATATAAAAAACATGTCAATGTATAAAGTTTGCCTTTTGACGGGTGTGTATAGTTACATATAATTTAAAATTTTTTTATAACAAATGTGTATTGTTTTCAAGGTGATGATGAGTACTGCAGGACTTATTTTTAGTGGATTATCTATATATGCTGCTTACACGGCACTCAAGAAATATTTCAGTGACCGACAGCAACGACTTGCTCTTCTTAATCCTTTTGCTAGTAATTTCACTCCGAGAAATATGGATAATACGATTGTTGATTGTCCAAATGCAAACCAGTTTTCAGTAGCAGGGGTAAGTATACAACAGAAGATTGCACGAGTTAGAGCGAAATTAAGAATGGACAACGAAAACACAGCTAACATAGCTGTCTGTGGAAATAGTGGTACCGGTAAGTTTAATGATTCAGATAGCAAAAATAGTCGGTCTATGTGTTTTCTAACGGTAGGTAAATCGACCTTTATCAACTGTATTCGTGGTCTACCCGATGTCGAAATGAAACATGGTTTCATACACATAGAAGACGGTCCAGCACCTGTAGGCATTATGGACACAACAATGGAGCCTATGAAATATCGATGGCCGCAAAATACTGTGCCATGTGTTACTCTATGGGATCTACCAGTAGTCAGAAGCATGGCAAGTGTCAATACAGACTACTTTGAAGAGCAAGGATTGTATGCATTTGATTGTTTACTACTTCTTCGAGCCGGTCGATTTACTCAGTTTGATCTCTTGATTTGTAATCGAGCACATCAATATAAAATACCAGTTGTATTAGTGATTACCAAGGGCGATCAGGATGTCGAAAGCAACAGAAAAATCAAAAGACGTCAGCTTGGTCGACAACTGACAGCCGAGGAGGATGAGCAAGTGATTTCTAAAACAAAAGCAATGCTGAAAGAGAACGCAACAGCAGAACTAAGTGCGATTCGTTCTCGTTCCACGAATACTCTAGTTGAAATACCGCCAATTTTCGTGGTTGCTCCTCAAAGTTACCGAGATCAGCTAAATGGTGTCTTGGATCTTGGAGGATGTCCACCATTAGAAACAACACAGTTAACAGAACACTTTTTGACTGCTATCGTTAATTATCGGAGTCAAACAACTGGAGACAATGACAAGACAAATTGATTAAGAATGATTGACCAAATTTGTACTGAATAACACAAAAAATAATTTTTTTTTGAAAATGTATTGGGAATTGTTGATCTTCTTAAGGGTGTATGTGTTCAACACTCAAAATATATAGATTCAAAGCAGCATACGACGCGTTTCGATCGAGGCTTAATTCGATCATCATCAGGTATCTTTAGAATCTTTTACTACATGTGAAAATTTCGAACTATATATTGAAATGGAAATATTCCTTAAAATTTAACAATAATTACACATTCTAATAAAATAAAGATGCCAAAATAAATTAAA